GTCGTGATGACTAGCTGCCTTTCCTCTAGTCCTACACTGATAAATTAGGGACGGCTAGCGCAGATAGCATTCGTGTAGCTTTTCGCGAAATTCAAAAAACAAGCAAACCATTATTAGTAACCTTAGTATCAGTTTCTAACAACCTTAAAATTGTTTTTAACTTGATTCTAAGGCTATATAAAATGTTTCCACTTATTTTTCAACCACAGAGATGGTAAAGATTATTATTATAAAAGTTATATCTGATTTCAATTTTGGATAAAACGTAGTCTAATTATACTATTGTGAAGTTATTAATATAAATTTAATATTTAGCCGCGGCATAGTGGCTCATAGGATGGCTCTGAGTTTTCTGTTTGTACAAACTTTTAGTTCATAGCTCCATCTCTTGATCGATTTGAGATCTAATTACAGCCGCAGCTATTGAGGATTCCCTCTTGTTTTGTTAATGAAGGTGTTTCAATGTTAATGCGACCAATGTGTAAAATTTGCCATATTGTAAACTCCATAACAAAAGAATACATCCCTTCAAAGATATTTTCGTGCAAGGCAGAATAAGTGGTTTAGGAATGTATAAATGGCTTTAGTTGAGTAACCAAGATTAACTAGATAAATTTAGTATATCTATGATATAAAACATAAAAAGTTAATCTAAGACATTCACATAAATTTATTCGTTATATTTGAATTCTTATTCGCTTAATTTCTTACTTAAGCTGATTTTATTGGCTGTTATTAACTCATTAACTAACACTTAACGCCTTGTAGATTTTCCAGCTTATGCATAAAACAATAAATTATTAAAAGGGCGAATGACTTAACTGTTGTAATTAAAATTATAATAAACAGACAAATTAAAAGGGACGACTTGGCAAAACAGCTCTCCCACTTTTTTGAAATATAAGAGAAGTTATGTATTTTTTTATTCCTTAATCAGATTAGCTAAAATTAAAGAAAACACACACGGTGAGGAAAGCTGGCCTTTCGGTTTACAAGCATAGCGTGTAAGTGGGTTAAACAAAGACCTAAAAATGTTCTTACATGAGGTAACTAACAGGGATTTCAGGTTACTCGTCATATCAGCGAGGTCGGCGCCTGTGGAAGATTTTATTTCATCAACTATGTGTTCTCTATAGATTGTAACCTGTATCAAAGATGCTGCAGACTTACAGGGAGATTTAGTTCATTTGATGCAATGGGCCAGTACGTGGCAGGTTACGTTTAACTATCCAAAATGTAAGGTGATGCATGTAGGTTTTCACAATTCAAATTATTGTTACAATTTTTTAATGTGAATACATTAAATACTGTGGTTGAAGAAAAAGATCATTTAAGTCATTTAAACAGTGTATTGTGGCTAGCAATAGGGTTAATAAGGTTTTGGGTAGCATCTATAGAAATATTGAATATAAGACAGGAGATGTGATTGTTTCACTGTATAGATCACTTG